TACGAGCAGCGTAAGGCCATGTTGACACTGAACACTGCCCTGAGGTTATGGAGTTGGAGCCCGCTGGTCCCCCAGCGATTGTGCCCCGTCTGTACTGCCACAGCCCTTCTCCCACGGGGCAGCTGGAGGGTTCACACCGCCGACCTCTGGGTCAGCAGGCAAGTGCCTAACCACTGGGCCCCCAGGGCTCCTCCTTGCCCACCCCAGTGATCAGAAAGCTCAAACCAAACCAGTTGCCAGGGAGTGGATTGCAACTCGTGGTGATCCCTGTGGCCAGGGCCCGTAATCTCCGAGCCGCCCAGGTCTCTGCCCTGGCTCGGTGGCACTGACTTGCCATGCCCCCCGCCCCCCGCTCTTCCCTGAGACCAGCCTGTGGGGCGCACGGCCCGCCCGCCCCTCCGCCGAGTGCAGGGCAGACCTTGCAGCGCCTCAGGTCACTGCCTCGTCCCTGGAATGTGCTTATTTATTCCACAGAAATGGGCGGTGAGCCTGCAGGGCCCTCCTGGGCCACCGACCACAGCTGAGCAGGGGCATGGGCGGGTCCAGCCCAACGGCTTCCCTCTGAGCCTTGCTCTGGCCTCACGTAACCCAGGCCCGCAGTGTCCTCCCACACCTCTCCCCTCCCGCTCCCCCCTCCAGCGACAGCCTGCCCAAGAGGCGGAGCCCAGGCCAGGGGCTCCCTGGAGGCGGCCCTGGCCCTTGAACTTGGAATAGCTGAGATTCCACAGCTGCCCTGCTGAACCTTCCAGAAATATTTCCTGAGCAGCAGATTCCTGAGCCTTTTCCCACGTGTCCTCCTGCTGCCCCACTTCTAAGCCGCCCTCTGCCTCTCCCCCTCCGGCCCCAAAGCACCCTGGTTCCTGAGCGCCCTCACTGAGCCGTGGGAAACACTTCCTCCAGGAAGCCCCCCAAGACCACGCAGTGAGTGGTGGATGGGTGCCCAGTGCCCCCCACATACGTGTATACACATGCAGACACCCACAAACACACATGTACACACAAGATACTCACATGTATACACACATCCACACATTCACACAAGATACCCACATACACACATGCATATACACCCACACACATATACAAACCCACACCTACATTTACACACATGTAAACACCCTCCACACACACATGCACACACAAGATACTCAACACATATACACACATGCACACAGACATCCACATATGAACATGTGCACGTACAGGGATGCACACTGCACATACATGTAACCCTACACATGTGCACGCCCACACGTGTGCATACAGTGCACACACAGGTACACATGTGCACGTTATACACACACACACACACTTTTAAAGCATTAATTGGGATTTTGCATGGAGCTGCCTTGTGGTCAGGAAGGGGGTCCTCCCACCCCACAAGCACCTGCCGAGCCCCCTCCTCTGGGCTCCAGATTCTGCAGAGAGCCCCTGAGACCCACGGGGCGCCCTGCTCCCAGCTGGGCCGACACTAGGACAGGAAGCAGGGCGTTGGGCACACACTACAGCAGGGGCCACGCCGTCAGTGGAGACAGCCAGGAGGGCTGGGGTCCCTCGCCACTTGTCCTGCCCTGCCTGTCAGACGGGTGGGGTGCCTGAAGGGGCCAGGACCGTGTCCAGGGACGCTGGGCTCCTCACTGGGCCGGAGTGCTGATGGGCCCCGGGCGCAGGGCCCACGCCCTCCACCCTCACACCCGGCCACGGCCAGGGCAGCGCCAGCACAGCAGAGGGCACGCCCAGTGCAAGGCTCCAGGAATCAGTTCCTGGAAGTCCCTTTCCCTTCCCCGCCGAGGCGAGGACAGAGCCCCTGGGGCCCGCCCTCTGCAGCCCAGCCGGCTCCCCCTGGGCCTGCCGCTGACGTGGCCTCCCGGGGCCGTCCCAGGGGCTTGAGGGGACCCGGCGAGCTCACGGCCCAAGGGCTGGATGCCAGCAGGGGGTGCTGCCAGGCTCCCAGGCAAAGGCGCTGGACGGGGCAGGGCGCTCGACCCTTAGTCCTGCTCTGCTCCCACCGCTGGGCTGATGGTAGACCCTGCAGGGTCCCCCCTAACTCCCCAGAAGCTGCAGCTACAACGCACCCCCCTTCTGACGACACTGGAGGGACCGTGTGCTGCTGCACCGAGTCCCCCCCGAGTGAGGGCAGGTGGGGGGGCGAGGTGTGAAGCCAGGTGTCTGACCCCCAGCCACGGCCCTGCGGGGCCGGTCCTGGAATGTCATCCCTCCCCCCCCCCAGTCATGAGGGGTCAGAGCTGTACCCACAGATCCTCATGGCCTCTGGGATCTGATGACTCAGAGGTTCAGAATGGGCAGGACCCTGCAGCCTCACCAGACCCTCGTCAGGGCTGGGGCAGGAGGGGGAAGGGCTGGAGACATGCCTCCCACTGCACCCCAAGGCCAGGGGACACCGCGTCTCCCTCCCAAATGCCCTGCCCTGCTCCCAGTTTCCTGTGTCCCCACCCAGATATGGGGGAGGAGAGGGGCCTCACAGGGCTCCGGCCAGACCATGGTCACTGCCAGATAGAAGTGGGTTTTAAATAATTTTCTAGATGAACCATCAATCAAGAGACATTGGAAACTGTCCCAGAGGCAAGTCCTCCAGGTAGACAGGAGAAGGGACAGATGAAAGGATGGGTGGATTGACAGACTGATGGGCAGCTGTGTAGGCGGGTGCCTGGGGGGGGGGCTGATAGGTAGGTAGGCAGATGGATGGAAAGGTGGGTAGGTGGGTGGCTGGACGGACTGATGGGTGGGCAGGTAGGGTGCCTGCGTGGGTGGGTAAATGAATGGATAAGTAGATACTACATCCCCACAGATGCACACATTCATCTATTCATCCCGCAGACATTCACTGAGCACCTGTTACGGGCCAGGCCCACTACAGACACTAGGGATTCAGTGGTGAGCAAGAGTCTGTCTTCTTGGTGCTTCCAGCCTGGAGCTGGAAGGGCCCCCTCTCCGACGGACTCCGAGACCCATCTGCACTCACAGGAGCCGGCGCAGCTGTCTCAGGCTACACACCAGGATGGCCAGGCACCCACCTGAGACGGGCAGCACACTGAACAGGCCTGGTCTCGGGAGTCGGGCAGGCCTGGGTTAAATCAGTGCTTTGATGCTTGCCTGCCGTGTAACAGCAGTCAGTCAGTTCACACCTTGGCCTTGGTTTCGTGTGCTGGATGTCACTGTCCTCTCTGCAGTGTTACCGAGTATCACGTGAGGGAAACAATGAATGGCAGCGGCTGAGTGTGCTTCAAGTGTCAGCTTTGTCCGTTCCTTGAGCATTTGCAAACAGGGGTGAGTTCACTCACAGGATTCATCCACATCCTCGAATCACTGCTCCTCTTCCAAAGATGGGTCTCTCTCCTGTGCTCCCACGCCCGTCAGTCTCCCCAGAATACTCAACGGCTTTCTGTTCACAGCCTGGGACCCATGGGCGGCTGGCCAAACCCCTCTGGACTCGCTGGTGCTATGCCGGGGTTATCAGAGGGAACGGGGAGCACACCCCACTCTCCTTCACGTCTCTACCCTTTCCCTCCGCGACCCTCCGGCCAGTCGTACAGAAGCGTGAGACTCAGAAGGTTAAAGAAACATAGGACGATATGCGACGGAAGGAACTTACAACCGTCTTCTTGGTCTGACTTTTCACACGGCTGGGAAACCACCTCCTGAAGTTAAAGCTTCCCTCCCAGAAGCCCTAGCAGGAAAGCCACCCACGTCCTAGTGTCCTTGTTCCCAGGAAAGACCCCTCTGCTTCCGACCTCCACCCATCTCTCAAGGCTACCACTGGCCTCGGCAGCTGCTGCGGACTGAGCCCTTTCCCCAGAACACGTGCTGTACATCCCGACCCAGTGTCTGTGGGGCAACATGGCAGCGACTGAGGACGGTGTAGGGCCGGGCGGGGCCTGGTCCCGCTGCGCGTGGGGTCAGGGAGCCGCGGCTCAATCCCACGTGCGACGTTTGCCTTCTCCCATTAACGAGGGTGCATCAGTGCAGGGTGTGTCAAAAACCAGTCGCGCCCGAGGTGAGGCAGATGCCACGTGACGACCACCAAGGCAACACAGAAGGGAGAAACCACGGCCTTTGCCGAGCCCCCAGAGCCCACCCCCCGGACTCAGCCTCGGGGCCCCTGCCCCGGGAGACAGACCTGCCGGAGCCCCGGGTGGCGTCTGTCCCAGCAGCACCGGGGGACGAGGAGCTGACGGGGACTGGAGCTGACCCCGGTGCCCACGGCTCCGGCCCTCAGCCCAAGCCACGCTCTGTCAGCGCCCAAGGACCAAAGGTCATCCCGACGCTGCACCCGCTGCTCTAGGAGAATCCCAGGAGGCCCACGGACCAGGACATCTGCAAGCCATGGCACACTGCAATCAAGGACACGTTGACAGCCGTGGCAACTGGACAGGGACTTTATGCCTGCAGTTTAGTCCTGTAATAAAAGCGGCTTGTCCTAGACTGTGGTGAAATCCACACCACGGACAGGTGGCCGTCTCAGTCGCTCTCCAGCGTGCGGCCCAGGCCTCTCGGCACAGACATCGTGAGCCTCACCACTGTTTTCAAAACTTCCCAGGCTCCAGACGCTCTGACTGGTACCTGGGCCAACAGGCATCTTCTGTCCCTTCAAGGGCCTAGTCCCGATGAAAGGGGTCCTATGTGTCTGACTAATGTCACTCAACACCAGGTCTCAAGGGTCACCCACGGTGTCTCAGAATCAGAACCCAGTCTCTGGCCGAGCGGCACCCACTCCTCTGCTGGTGGACACGGACGTCTTCCTGTGTCTTCCGAAGCCTGCCTCTCGTTGAAGCTTTCTAGCACTTGATCTCCACTGTATTTCACCAAAGTGTCTGTCTGTGACAGACCCCATGTTTTTAAACGTGGATAACCTGGAAAGGACGACCTCGGGGCCCAGGAGTGAGAGCGGGCTGCACGGGCCTGGTGCCAGGCAGCGCGGGGAACGGCGGGCCGCAGCCAGCAGGCGACGCCGCACCCGGGAGGCAGCGGCCTCCTCTCGGTCAGGCCTCCGGGGGCGGGGCGGGCCTCCGGGCCCTCGGGGCGGCCCGCAGCTCCTCGGGGCCGTGGGCGAACAGGCAGCTGGCGGCCGGCAGGGCACAGCCATCGGGGTGGTACGTGAAGAACCAGCAGGGGCGGGTTTTGAAGGTCTCGACGCCCCGCCCCCGCCTGCGCCCCGGCCGCGTGGCCCTCTGCGGCTGCTCCTCTCGCCAGTCCCGGAAGCGGATGCGTCCGTTCTGAACTGTGGGCGAAACAGAGAAGACGCGGTCCCGGGTCAGCCGGGGCTCATCAACAGCACGGGCGGTGCTGGCGGAGCGGGCACACGGACCAGGCACCAGCCTGCGGCAGGGGCGAAGCCGGGCTAGGAGATGCCAGGCTGGGCGGGGCCGGGCAACACAAGTGTAACACCCCCGAGGATCCGGGTACCTGGGCCTCCTCTGGGGGGCGGCCTCCGGGGACCCGCAGGCGAAGCCGCAGGCCTGCTGCTCTTGTGAGACCCACGGCCCCAGGGGGAAGGGTTCCCTACCCGGCCAGCCGCACCCTCTCCTGCCCCTGCCGGCCGCAGACAGTGCACTCAGACCCTCCCTGGGACTGAGGGCCCCACCCTCGTGACTACAGGCCCTGCCCCCCACACGGCCCTGTGAGGCACACGAGGAGGGGCTGGGCGGGGAGTGGAGGGGCGGGGCCGGATGTGTGATGGCGACCAGGTGGGAGGCCAGAGTACAAGGCAGGGGTGCGGGAGAGAGGGGCTCACGGCAGGGGTGCGGGAGAGAGGGGCTCGAGCCCAGACCACGGGCCAGGGCCAGCAGAGTGGGGGCGGAGTGGAGGTGAGGGCCGTGGAGGGTTGCCTCAGGGGCCTCGAGGCCCCAGGACTGGGGACCTGCGGGAGCGTGGGCCCACGTCAGAGGAACGACAGGGCCCCGGGGCTGAGGGCAAGGTTTGGGCAATGACAAGATGCAGCGTGTGAGCCCGAGGGCTGGGGTGGCACAAGGACAAGACTGGCAGGGAGAAGGCGGGGACTGGGGGCAGGGGCGAGAGCCATCGAGCGGGCCCCTGACCCGGGCAGACCCCGGGAGACGACCGCACTGCTGCACCAGCGATTCTGGCTCGCAGGCGGAAAACGAGGCGCCCCGGGGAGGGCTGGCCGGCCGCCCGGACTCAGCCGAGCAGCTGGGTGGACACCCCGGGGCCTCTCCTCGGCTGAGGAGACAACGGCTCCAGAAGTGCTGCAGCCAAAGCAACCAACGCCTGGTTTGCGCTGGAAACTGGAGCTTCCGGAGACGGGGGGCCCAGGGGACGGAGGGACCCCGCTGCGTAAAGCTGATCTGCAGGTGGCCAAGGAGGCCCTGCAAGTGCTCAAACCAGAGCTGAACTTCCCCCCAGTCAGCCGTGTGCGCGGCCGCGACTGGCCTGTCCTCAGCAGAGGGACACTCAGCCAGTGTGCCCCCTGGACCAGAGGACGCCACACAGGGGCACCCTGCCCGGGACATGACAGGGGTCCCCTCGTGCCTGGGACATGCTGGGGGCCCCCACGTGCCCCTGGAAGCCTGCCCAGAAGTGCCCAGGTGATGGTCCCTTTAACACGCCCCCTTGACGGCGGAAGAGCACCACCTAGTGGCGCGGTGCAGGAGGGCACCCCCCAGGTGGAGGGCGGGGCCCCAGCCCGGACCGCCGGGGGCCCCAGCCCGGACCGCCCGGAGCCCCTGCACAGGAGCCAGGGGCCTGGCGATAAGGATCCCCTCTGGTCTTCCATCTGCTTCCTGAAAACAGCCCTTGGGACCTGCCAGCAATCAAGACGCCTGTTTCCCAAAACAGCCACATTTAAGCCGATGGAAAGGTAGCAGGGGCCCCAAGACCACCCCAGCAAACTGCTGGAAGGGAGGTGTGTGGCCCATCAATCTTGCACATCCACTGACTCAATGTTCCTGCTTATGCACCAAGGGTGTGGTAACTCGCAGAAGAGCCCGTGTGGGGAAGCAGGTTGAGTTGCGGCATTGGTGAAGAAGATTAAACATACCGTGCGCGGCCAAAAGAAAGAACTGATCCTGGAGCCGGAATGCTTGGAAGAACTGATCTAGGGCCGGAATGCTTGGAAGAAGCAAGGATGGCTAGATTTCATCTCAAGCACTTTGTTCGTGCTGTCAGAAGGCATCAGTCCCTGGGGAAAGACGCCATGCTTGGTAAAGTGCAGGGTCAGCAAAAAAGGGGAAGGCCCTGGATGAGGTGGGCTGACAGTGGCTGCAGCGGTGGGTGGGCACGGCAGGGACTGAGGCTGGCGCAGGACCAGGCAGTGCTTCCTTCTGTTGTACACGCGAGTCGGAGCCCCCAGCACCAGCAACAAGGACACAGTTAGGCTTCCTGGATGGGCA